TTCGTCAAAACACTTCTTCATTCCAGTGCATTCTATACGGCGAGCAAGTGTTTCAAACTGCGTCTTTCGCGCATCGGAACGCAAGGAAGAGCATGCCAATCATATGGCATCATAGACAGCGCGTAGGGAACGCGCGATGACGAGGCTGTTAAGCGCGTGCCGTCATTGGTTGAGATCGGGGGAAAAACAAAAGCACGTGGGCGCATTTGGGGGGCAAACAAACGCACGAGGTGCCCACAGAGCAGACGCACTTGCAGGCCGTATACTCCGTGTCGCCCTACGATGGGCTAAAGCCAGAATTTCGGAGCGCCGGGTTCAATCCCAAACGGGATGACGAACCACGTGGTATATTGCATTGACGATACGCTCGTGGAAGCAATATACCACGTGATGCAGGTGGGTGGACCTGGTGGCGAGCGGCTTTGACTCTAGTCCATCGAAGGCGAGACAAAGAATCGCACCATCATTTTTTTTAACTGTGGCGTGATCCTGGCGACAGAAGTTCGTGACAATGTGATAAACAGACGCATCTCGCAGCATCGTCTGTGTTGTCGATGCAAATCTCCAGTAGCTTAGGTACGACACCTATTTATACTGTATTTTTGTTTCTTTAATTTTTTTACTAATTTAAGTTGAGATCTTTGTTCATGGGACGAGGTTTGAGATCAAGCTAGTAGAAAGAAGCCTGCCTGTTTCATCTTTCATCCAAAAGAGAAACGAGAAAAATAACCGACTACATAGAGACTATAATCTCCCATTTCGCATTTTTTCCTCTTTCGTTGTGGTTCTTGTTTTATTTTAAGTGGATCACTCACCCATTCTAGAACGGTTGAGCCCGGGCCTGCTTTTCGCACTTTTTAGTTCGAGTAACTTCTTGTAAGTAAAATTCACACGACAAATATGAAAATATAAAATGGTCCGCAACTGTAATACACGATTATAGACCATTTTACTGTCTACAAGCACGAGCCGTCTCTTCTCTCCTAAGTGGCTTCCAGTGGCTTCCTTTCAGCTGGCGTTATTTCCGAGCCTTTTGAAGTCGAAATTTCTGTAACAATGAAGTTGTATGGAAACCACGAAGTTGTGGATTTAGCAAGGTTCGTATAGAGCGAATGGGAACTTTTAGCAAATCCTTACGGTGTTCATGAATTTAGCGCGCGCCATGCCCGAGATCACGGTATGAATCTAATAAAAGTGCCCTTAACGCGTGCTTCAAAGGCTCCAAACCGTTACCGGAACACGGTAATGGTTTGCTAAAAGTCTCTATTAAGAGGGGATTGGTCGTCTTACAGGAGTAATAAAAAAGCCTTTAATAAATCTCTCGCTAACCGGTCATTTAGCTAAGCGCCTGGAGAAGTGGTCATCAAATATTTCACGAGCGCTACAAGAAGCGGTGCCATGGTGGGGATTGTCTGACCTCTCATTTGAGCGGAGGTTCGTGGGGACGTAAATTGCCGACAACGTCTCCTTTGGGAACTTTTAAAGGCCTTTAGAATTAAACAAGCGCGGTGATGTATACTCGGGGAAACCGTTCTTTTGCGTTTTCGAGAAGACGGCAAGTTTGCCAGCATAGCTGATCGTCGAACAAAGGGGAAATTCTGGCACTACACGTGCAGGTCCTTTTGTGGGAAAGAAATGTCAAAGTAAACGCAAGGCGATGACCAGCGCAGGCTCCAGAAGATAGATATGCTTTTATCCCTATATTCGAAATTAAAGATGACACTTCAGATGTTAAATAATACTTCTCGGTTTCGGGTTACTAGAATGTCTGAAACTCGCCGATTGTTTCCAAACGCAACTAGGCGGTTTATATGGCCAGTCCCTTACAACGCGTGCAGTGGTAGCTCAAACGGTATCTTGAAACGCTCAAGTTATTCTTACGGCGTCACCCGCGACGTCCTCGGTACCACCACGAAAGTATGAAACGTCGAGGTGGCACTGACTAGATCACCTGAATGTCCCCAATATGCCGACCCTCCCAAGATTCTCTTAAAAACTCCGTCACTGCGCTGAAATCGGTGGCGACAATAGGGCGGCCATTCTCCTTTAGCGGACAAATAGCGACTCCTGCGAATTCGGCGACACTATAGTCGCTAGAGCAGAAAGCTGTCACGGCAGGTTCTCGACAGCTTTCTCGAAACGAAATCAGATTTCCACAGCGTCTGGCGGTCAAAAGACGTAGCCGTGATTTTTTTTTTTCAAAACGAAGCGACGAAAATCGCTACGGGCTGCTTGATATACAAATCTTTATTAACATAATAAAAAAAAAAAAAAAAACACGCGTATCACTTTCCAACCGGTTCGGCTCTTCGGAGCACCTGTGCGTATACCTTTTAAGTGCGTTTATTTTATGTGTTTCTTTTTGTCTCCCGGCGTCAACATGTGTGACATAAGCAAATCAGAATGTACAATCGGTTCATTTCTCTAAATCAAGCAAAGGCTGCGGAGTGCGGTATGCGGGGAATACCCAGTGACTCAAGTGGTGACGAAAGCCCTGAAACGTGAAATTCGTATAGGACAATAAGCATGGCGTTTCGAATGCCCATTGTTCCTGCGAACATAGCGTCTCTCGAGCCAACCCGTTACTTCCTGTCGCTATTCGCCGAACGCGTTCTGTAGATCGTAGTGATTGCGCCGTCCCCTGTGGTGCGGAAACCAGACGCGCAGGCATTTATTTATGGCGTTTAAAAGGGACACCGAAATGAATCGTAAGTCATAAGTCGACGATATATATATGTAGACGAATTCATAGCTCTCCGAGCGAGTAATACGGGTAAACGTCTGAGACGGCCTCCGCAAAGTCAGAAATCGGTTAAGGATGTCCATTAGCTATAGTTACGTGCTATACGTAATGGACCTAAAACTGCATACTTAATGTACCATTAAGTATAGTTTTAGTATTACACGTTGACGCACCCTAACAAAAAGTGAATGAAAATTGTCGTAGAGATCCAGGGCAACTGAAAAGACGAGCGAAACAAACAGCTCGGGCAGAGCAGGGACAAGGACCGACATGTATACAGGCTGAAAGCCTGTACGTGTCTGGTCGGATCAACGTGTCTGGACGGATGAATCCTGCAGCTTTGAGACGTTCTTTAGTACAGGGTAACAATTTACAAACGAACACTTGGCTGCGTCGTCACAGCCGAGTCATGGTTGGGGAAGCCCTTGGCGAGTAATGAAGTTGAGAATGCACAGACATTTTGCTTTTCTTCGTATTTGAACGACACTTTTTGAGGGAAGTATTGTCTATAGAGCATTAAAAAAAACCAATACCCTATCTTCCCGGTTTTTGCAACCGTAGAACACATCATTGGCAAAAAGAATCATATAATGAAAGCTCAACAGAAGGAAGGGACAAAGACAGACACGTACAACCTTTCAGCGTGCATATGTCTGTCCTCGTCCCTCCTTTTTGTTTAGCTCTCATTATATGAGTATCTACGACAGCACGCTCGCCCAACTCTCCACAAAAAGACATCCCTCCAATGTCTAAAAAGATTCGAATTTTCGGAGGTGTTCCCTGAGCACCTTGTGCGCCGAGAAACTGGGGGAGAGAAGGAGACGAGACGGGACGTCAGAACGCCGAGCTCAGGTTGATATGATTAGTGGGTAGACATAAAGCTAGCAGCCTTTGTCTCCACTGCACTCGCTGAACGCGTCCGAATGCGAAAGCCAAACTCCGGCGTTGTGCGTTCTAACGCGTTTGACGAGTGCAGTGAAGACAAAGGCAGCCACACTTTAGGTCTATCTAGAGTCACTGAATGTTCCCACGAGTACCGAGGCTCCCAAGCTTCGTTTCAGAATCGGGTAGCGGCGCAACAGTCGCGATCCCCATTATGGCGCTGCCCTGTGCGGTCGAAGCGAAGCGCGTACAGTGTAGCGTTCCCTTCTCGTGCGAGCTTCTTCAATCCACTTTCCTGGTCTGTGGCGACACTGGTTTGTTTTTATTAAAGTTCTATCTTCCATTTCAAGTGGCGCGTGACTTGCTCCTCGCTGTCACCGTCTCTCTCTCTCGCCTCGAAATACATCAAAGTCGTGTGTTGAGCTTAGCATCTGAGGCGTAGAGTTTGAAACGAAGCACCAGCGCCACCGGAGCGAGCCAACGAGCCTGCATCTTTCTTTGGCTAACAAAATTAGCGGCTACTTAATGAAAAAAGAAAAAAAAATAAGAAAAAATATAGATAATCAATGCACCTTCCGTTCGGTCCTAACTCATCGATGCCTAGAGCTCTCACCCGTGCGTACCCGACAGAGCCGTTGCAACGCGGAAACGTATGATATATGTTTTTTTTTTTTTTTTTTTTTTTTTTTTATTCTGAGCCGGTTCACAAAATGGCCGACTGATAACTTCCGCCACGGGCTAAACCGAGCAATCAGAGCTGGATTCTGCGGGACTGACTTCCGGTAAAAGGACTGAACGAAATTCGGTACTCTGGGAACATTCAGGAACTCCAAGGTCTACCCACTAACCGTTCCAATCAGAGCTCGGCGTTCTGACGCCCCGCGCGCTCTGGTCTATTCCTCTCCTTCAGTTTCTCGGTGCATACACATGGCGTCCGTAAATGACTGCTACACTTTAATGCGGAACGCAAGTCCGTCTTCTTTTGCCGCGGGTTAGTGGGTAGACCTCAGAACGCCGAGCTTTGATTGAAGGATAGTGGGTAGACCTCAAGGCAGCTTGGCTTGAGGTCTACTCCCTATCTTTCAATCAGAGCCCATCATAGCTCGGCGTTCTTACGTCACCACAACCCCCTGCAAAAGAAGACGGACTTGCGCTCCACATTCCTTTGTGATTTTACTCTTAAGGCCGGTTCACACATGCAGCGAAGCGCTAATGTAGCGCTTCTCACGTGTCGTCTGCTACTTATTGTCTGCCATGAACAACAGTATTGACGGTGCGACACAAAGCTGGTGAACGCTCCCGTCAGCACGCGCTTAGGGCGAGATCAGCGCTACGAGTGTAGCGCTCCGCTACATGTGTGAACAGGCCTTTACGAGCAGCTTTTCTGGCTCTTCAAGCGCCATTTTCTGATGTTCGCCACGCGCCTTTGTTTTTAGCTCTCTGCACATGTGTATGTGCATGCCCTCATCTGCCCACATGCTTGTCTATCAACAATGAGTTGGTGTGGGTGCTAAGAAATAATTGTATTTGAATGACGCAAGTTTTATGTACCATAAATAAGCTCGGGGCGAGCTCCTGTTGCGACCCGACACAAGTCCTGTTTGTAATCCAGCTGCATGTACACACAGCCCCCTCACTCATACGAGGACGGCTTTAAATTTTCTTCCTAAAAAGTGCATACCCGGTTTTAAAAATTGCCCTATTACCTCTGTATTGATTCTGGAGTAGGGGAATGCGAAACCATCTCCGCTAAACACCAATGCATTACTTTTCTTCTTAATTTTTTTTTTTTTGTCTACCCATAGAGAGAAGCAAAATATATTTTCTCTGTGAAAGGCCATTTCTGAAGTTTGCGGAGTCTGGATGTTAAAATAGGTAACATGGAAATCTCCCGCAAATTTTAGCATCCTTCAGTTTGACTCTCCGCTTATACCGGTGTGGGAATGCTTTGTAGTTGTTCCGTATGTCGACCCCGCGGGATGTGTATCAATCATTTACGGACACCCTGTAAGCGTGGATAGTCTATTCAGTTCCGCCCAGTCCGATGAAGCAACACCTCCTAGATGACAAGGTCGAGGGTCTAAATTTGTGGCGTCACCTTCCTGAGGCCTCCGCGCGGCAGATTGGACACGACTCACGAGTGCTGCCTCGGCGTCCATCTAAAGAGTCGTGTTCAGTCAATGAGCCGTGCTGGCCTCCAGTAGGTGAAGCCACATATCCAGCCGAACGGCCTTGTTATCAGGTGTTGTATGGCGTCACGACCGTCGTACGCTGCGTCCATCAGCGCGGCGCAGGCGGCGACGACGACGACGACGATGTGGTACTACGCCGTGCCAGTCCTAGAGGTCTTGGCCGTACAAAGTGGTCAGTGTGGTCCGCGCAGTTTTCTCTAAGTGGAAAAAAAAAAAAAAAAAAAGATCGCGACGCTGTTGTGATCTTAAAGTACGAGGACAAGACTTGGTTGCAAGGCAAGATGGTGAATAAGTAAGCATATTTTATTTTATTTTATTTTCCGTAAAGCATGCGTACAATTATGGTGTCGGGGCTACGGGTGACTAGAGACACCACGACACCTTGGGAGGAGGGAAGGGCCTCTGTTACGTGTCAGCAGATTCCACAAATGTCATGCTGTTAAACCACAGGCAAGGCCCAGGAAGAGGGACGATAGGTGTTTTTGGAGACAGACGAGGCACGTGTGATACAAGCGGCGGCCATACGAGCTGGATGGTCATAGTGAAAAGTACTGGATTTTTAAGCTATTTACTGGAGGCGGAACTAAACTGGCACTTCCGGTAGTAGGTGTGTGCACCCCCCCCCCCTCACCCCCTCCCCCCCCCCCAAAAAAAAATATATATATATATAAAAATGTTGTTTTGCCAAATAATTACAGCCCCAGGTACTAAGTTGACACCGCATGGGGAGCAGGAACTCTCCCCAGTTAACCACTAGATGGCGCAACGGGCAAAGGCAGTGGCTATTCGTTGAAACTAGACACAAAACTGGCTTGGTGGCGCAAACCGCCGCCCGATTAAAAGGGCTCCACTCGTATTTATCCACCCATCCATCCCTTTGTAGCTGTTGGCTACTCCAACCATCGAGCTCATAACGCCAACGATAATGACTTGCATTCATCTCTTTTTCACTTCAGTGTAGCGGCCTAGATTCGTGAGCTTGTACCTAATCTGCGACTAAATATTTTCAGTCAACTTTTTCTCTCACAAGGGCATACCCATATGACCATAATGAACGTTCGAGCACGCAACTAAAATGTTGGCATAGAGCGCGAGAACTTTACACCAAATGTATACACTGGAACAACCATTAACAGAAAGCGTTGGCAGTTTCTTGATTAAGTGTCACAATAACAGTAGTGTATCTAACAAGCTGAATAGGCACAAATACGAGTGATAATGCATTTATATTAACATCTTCATGAAGATCTACGTATAATCGGCATCGACTCATCTGTGTTACACTGTCAATGCTAGCGTTGATTCCACGGTGTTCGAACGCTGTAAAAGCTACTTGCGTCAGGATTGCTGCTTCGTTTGGCGTCTTTATACCATGAAAGCGCGTGCAATTGACATGCCTGACGAAGCCAGGTGCACTCGCAGCATTGCGGGACTGCAGCATTGGGAAGTGACGCTAGCCTTCTCAACGTAGCACGAGATAAACATTTGCCACGAGCATAAATGCACAAGCGGTTCTTGTCTTGGAATGTACATATAACCGTCAAAATGAAATGTTTTAATAACATAAATCAGAATTTCATTGCGCTATATTCTCTTTAAAAAAAGCACGATCGTACAACGCAATGCGATCGCTTCTTAGTATATCATACTGCTCTTAAAAAAAGGCAGTGCGAAAATGGCTCTCAATATGTTAGTCCACCCATAGTGGCATAAGCAAGACGCTTGTAGAAACAAACTTTTTTTACATGCATACATAGATCATTCCATCAAGCAAATAAAAGGCTGGAAACACTACAAACGTTTCCCACTGCAAACAAAGCAACTTCGGTAACTAGTCACACTCTTACGGTCTGTTAGTCACAGGTGTGCAGTTGTATAGCTTAGTAGAATTGCATCATCTGCAATGGCGAGCTTAACATGTTTCTAGCAAAGGCACCACAGTGAAATCGACCAACCTTAACAGCACATACATTTTTGCAACCTAGATCGATATAGAGGTCGTTTTATGTAAGAACAACCGCGACGAAAGAGGCAAAAATATATTAAATCTTGAGAAATACTACGTCCCGTCTACACACATACACATACAAAAGAGCTGACTTAAAAATATTGCTGACAACAAAATGGAATAAGAAGTCTGTTTAGAGAGGGGAGATCTTGATATTTCGGTTCGCAATGTTTCCACCTGAGGCCTCACTGCTGTAACAACTGAAAGGGCTTTGGCTGTCATGAATTCCATGGTCAGAATTCACTTCCAAGCTCGGTAATCATCCCGGTCGCGATTATGGGTTCCGATTTTACCGAGAAACGGCATATTTAAGAAAAATAATATAAAATCTTCCACTCGCTCTACTTGCTTGCTTTCTTAAACTTTTAAAATGAAGATTTGCGTTTTCAAAGGCCCGATTACATTCAAAAGACTAAAAAGTATTTTACTCCTGGCAAAAGATAAAAATCAGGTTATGAGATACATTTATACAGTGTGAGGTCAGTTTGCCTTAAAGACATGCCTCCGGTGTACACGGACAACTTCACCAGCACAATATGTCTGCTAATCCGTACAACCTACACAGAGCGACAATCTGAGCGCGAACAAGCAATTGTCAATGGTTTCCATAATTTGCCTTACAGCGGAGCTGTAGAGGGTAAGTTTCCCCAGGATCGTGCCCGTTAGCAAACAAATGATGACAGAGAATTCTGGACAGCTACCGCCATCTACGAGCGACGGCGGTAACCTTTCGAGCCTTTCCACTCTGGCTTGCCGACTTGCGGCCTGCCACTACCTCATTCCCACCATAGTGCAGCTTCGCTGGTCTTCCTTCTTCACCAGAGTGGAAAGGCTGAAAGTTTGTAATTGAACGGCTGTAATAAAAGTTACTACAGTGGCGGAAAGCCCTCATTTAGGGCAACAACCTAAGCGATAAAGCTTCGCGCCCGTCAAAACTCTTCCTAAGTAAAATTCAGCAAAGCGCCGATGCCGGGTGTTCGCGCTCACAGTGTCGCGCAGCGTACTACGTCACAGTTCGCAGGAATGTTCCCCGACAGAACGCTCGTTCAAATCAAACCCTGCAAAAGTTTCGTCGCTGCGGAAAAAAGGGGCAACTTAACAAGCAGAGGATATCTCTTCAGCATCGCTGCCTACTTCTACAAATCAAACAAGTCATGCACACAAACATAGAGATAATGAAAAGATACGGAGCTGGATTAATACCACCAAGAAAACAAGGCATGCAGCGTCTTTCCTCTTCTATCATCATAACTAGTGGACCCACACAGCACTGCCTGTCTCGCGTCCCCGTCGCCATGAACCGTCTTGCAGAGTCTCACAACGAGCGCGAGGTTAGTGCGACGACGCCCAAAACGCGCGTCGTGCGCTTTGTCACCTGCTCTCGTCGAGTATCGGCGTTTTTGCCGCTTGGAGCAGGTCGGCAGTCCACTAACGATGACGTAAAAAAACGGGCCTTGTCTTCTAGGTGGTATTGGCTGGATTCAGTCCACACACACGGTCTTGCGGGGGGTTCTTGCATCGCGTGCTCCTCGTGCTTCAGACCTGCCCCTTACCCAGGACGCCCTTGAAGAGTTCCATGGGCAGCGGGAACACGATGGTCGAGTTCTTCTCGGCGGCAATGGACGTGAGCGTCTGCAGGTAGCGCAGCTGGAGGGCCGGGCCGGACTCGGAGATGATGTCGGCAGCGTCCTTGAGCGAACGGGCCGCGCGCTGCTCGCCTTCCGCCGCAATCACCTGTTCGGGGGCACGGTACGGTCGTTGCCGAGCTTTGGGAAACCGTCCTCGGTCACTCAGTAGTAGTACTACTAAAATCGTAATGGCTACAATAGGTGCGGTTGCGATCGGCACAATGGGGAGCTTTCGGGAACTGTTTTTGCACATCGAATACGGTATAATGGGCCCTTTTACCCAAACTACGTATGAGGGCCGATCGTTTACCGTATTTGATGTGCAAAAACGGTTCCCTTTCGGGGAACCGTTCTTGCCCATTCAATACCGTACGATGGGCCCTCCGGTACGAAGTGCCCGCATACTACCGCTTGAGACTCGCGCATGCGCAATTCGTACCAGAGGGCCCATCGTACCGTATCGGACGTGCAAAAACGGTTCCCTAATAATAGAGAGTTTTAGCAGGTCGTTCTCACACAAACGCTTCGCTCTCGAACGCATCGGCGACGCCATTGCGCATGCGCGCTCGAGTCGTTCGGGGCGTCGGGAGGCTCTTCTCGTTCGTTTCTCTCATTCCGGCCGCTGGAGTCGTAACCGCAACGCAGCCAGCACCGTTCACGACTCGGGTAAAAAAAGATGGCGGTCGGTTTGGCGACTGACTTCGCCGACCCAGCCGAGAGTAAAGCTTAAGGCAACGCGAGACGATTTGCCATCCTGTTAGTCTGCTTCATTTGAGAGGATGAACCAAATCATTTCGAGGAGTGCTCACAATGGTAAGCGATCGTGAATGCTGTAAACTGCATGCTAGAAAATGTTTGCGATCTGCGGGCAGACATGCTGCCGCGGCGATCGTGAGCAGACGAAATGATTTGGTTCGACGGCACACAACGTGAACGACCGTTCAAGTTCAAGATGACAGAGGCACATCACATGTCTTTACGGTCGTTCAAATGCTTTTTACTTTATCTAGCTTCGAAGTGTTTGAAATTCCGATCCGCAAATCTTACGTTGGCCGTCTTGTTTACATCAATCGTTCACCGGAAACATCAGCCGCCACGGATTTACACGTTGCACAATGTTTCACATGTTTACTAGAAGATGGCGCCACCAACAAAACACAATCATCATCATCGTTTACACGGTTGCGCCAGTCTCACGATCCGCTAAATATGTCAAATTTTACGTACGGTTTCAAGGAACGGACCTGGCACCGTTCGTGATTTCGGAACCGTGGGCTCGAAAAACGACTCGCGAAAACTCCCCAATATAGGTACGATTACGGTCGGTACGGTTTCAAACGGTACGATTACGGTGCCACCGCGATCGATAAAGATATGATCGCTATGTTAACGTTGTTGTAAGTGGAACTCTGACTTAAAGCTCGGGAGGGCAAGAAAAAGAAAAAGAGAAACCGACAACGAGATGGCGATAAATCTCACGTGGTACGGCGCAGTGTAAAAACGTAAACAGACAGGACGAAAAATAAGTACACACAAAGAGAAAAGAGACAAGCACGAGGAAAGCACGTGGATGCTCGGGTAACCTCAACGGGCTCCTGACGGACTGAGCTTTGCCCGTGGCCTCACGTCATGTTTACACCAACTCGGGCGAACTTGAGCAAGACGAGATGTCTGCCGCCGCCATCAACCATCTGGGGGTGCGAAAAGCGGACCAGGAAAAAAGCGGAATCTGAAACGTCGGTCGGAGGAGAGAGAGAAGGAAGATGATCACGGGACGACGGGTTCCCAGAGAGAGATCGAAAAGGAACGCCACAAAAGACGCCACGCAAAAGACCTCTTCTCTGTTTAACGAAGCTTGAGTTGTAGATTTAGGCTAATAAACAGATCGTATTGGGCTAAACCTTGCGGTTGTCATTAAACAACAAACGTGTATTGTTCAAAGCGAAAGCTTGTTGTTACGGGACTGCAGACGTGCTCTGATGGTGCATCTCTGATCGCGGTCGTACGATAATTGGAAACCGGTCAATACGACTACGCTCGGTGCGACTGCGATCGGAACAACTACGATATGTGTGGCTACATTCGGTATGACTACGATAGGTACAGTTGCGATAGGTGCGGTTGTGTTTGGTGCCGCTGAAACTGGTATGACTGCAAGTTACACCATTGCAATTGTGCACCATTGCAATATCTAGAATATAGTATAATCAAGCATACAAGTTCGTCCCGAAAGGGGTAATGAAAGATGTGTGATCTAATTGGTTATCAGCGTGGTATTACGAAAACGTCACATATTTAGCGAGATAAAACGCAAACTTCAACGAAGCGTTTCGAGCCTGTACGCGAAACAACGTGAATGCGATTTTTTTTTTTATGTTATTTCTTTTTGAAAGTTCTCAATCGATATAATCTCTTTACTGAAGATACACTTAACGAATGGTTCCTGGTTTATTGAAGCACAATTTTCAACAGCTGAAGACGTGCTGAAACAATTATCGCATTACTCATAATAGCAAAATATTTTTAGCTAAATATTTAGAGAAACAAATTTCAATATTCGCTTTTAGGGGCGAAGCTCCTTAGGGGCTAGCCATGGCCGTATGTCCGTCCGATGTCCGGCGTCGGGTGCTCGTCCTCGCGAGCACTTGAGGATGTGCTCCCGTGCTCGTGTAAAGAAAACAAAAAAACAAAAAAAAAACGCATCTCCATGTGGTGAATGATGTTGATTGGGGCGAAGCTCTGGTGGTGCTTGTCTGCGTAGACGGCGAGCCGCAGCATGCCGAGCCTTTCGTTCGTTTTCAACCATGTCAGAAAGAGAACGTGTGGTATGCAACGTGGTTATATACGCATTTGAGCATTTGACCGCAGCGTGGCATGGATGAAAACGAGCGAAAGGCTCGGCATGCTGCGGCTCAGCGTCTACGCAGACAAGCACCACCAGAGCTTCGCCCCAATCAACATCATTCACCACGTAAAAATGCGTTTTTTTTTTTTTTTTTTTTTTTTTATTGGGGTCGAAATTCTACTTTCTCCCCCGAGTAGTTTTCGCGTGCAGGAAAGCTACGCGAACACGTCCTAAAACCAGCACGCGAGAAAACCATTTTGTTTTCCGAAACATCTTTCTGCCTGCATCGCGTGGGAAAGTAATATGTTACGACATGTCCAGATTTCCTCACCTTGGCGCGAGCTTCTCTGGACGCCTCGGCCTCGGCCGCCATGGCCCTTTGCATCTGAACCGGCAGGCGAACGTCCTTGCTGAAATTCGAGATTTAAGCGTGATGCTTACCACCAAGAACGTAAACAAACTTTTGAAGCACAGCACTGCTGTGTACACCCCATTACAAAGAGGGAAGCAGCACCAAAAGTACGGAGGACAAAGAGCGAGGAACACACAGACCTAGCGCTGTGTTCCTCCCCCGTACTTTTGGTGCTGTTTCCCTCTTCGTAACTATGCATAACCAACTGGCCCAAATTTCAACGGTACCACACTACAGTCGGTGGCAGGCTAAGAATTTAGCAGATGCTCCACCTCTAGCGAGAGCTTATTGCCTTCCGCCGTTCTTTGACTGCGCGCGCGCTCTCTCGAGGTGCACGAGACGCCGCGGCATTGTCGAAGGCAGGAAGCTCGCGCTGGAGGAAGGCGGGAAACTGAAGCTCCTCCCCGCTGTTTTCCCCTTGCCCGTGACTATTAGCGGCGAGATATTTTGGTGGCGCCCTCGTTTGGTTACCTTTCGTGACGTCATTACCTTGTGAACAACAAGTTCGATGGTGTTTGTAATGAGCACGTGAAAGCCTGAAATCATAGCGCTCACAAAGCAACACTGCCAACACCGTCAAAATTAAAGTTCTTTCATTCCTCTTATTTCCGTCGAAGATAATTCCTTTCCTGACGACAGTCAGGGTTCGGCCAATCGTGGAAGGCCGACCACAGCGACGCTTTCGGTCGCGCACGTCGCCAATAGCAACTGTACTGAACAGGACAAATACTTCATAGACACCGGAGACATCAATCAGACTCCACTTGGGGCCCGGCCAACGTCCCAATGTGTTAACGGATTGCGAACAAAAAATACGGCGTCGGAGTCCACGTATACGCCACTTACATTTCAACACGCTCCACCTTCACTCCCCAGGCGTCTGTGGCTTCGTCCAGGTTCGTCTGCGAGGGAAGGAAAGGGGTCGATATTACAAAATCGGCACAAAAAGAGGTACAGTGAAATACATTATCAGGAGTGTCTACTGTTAGGTAGTTCGACAACAACACGAGCTCCAATATCTTGCCGGCTCGTGAGAGCGGGCGCGAATCACGGTCACCCGGCGCCAGACGGTAAACATCCGTTCCTGGGTCCGCGTATAAAGCCCGATTCACATGGTGTCATCTTGCTTGCGAATTTGCAGATACAACGTCCGGCACCGCGGCTTTCCCCGGACTTTTTTTGCCGCACGAGCGACGTCGAAACTGCGAAATCCCAAGGAAAATCGCACCATGTGAATCGGGCTTGACCAAAACGCTACGTATTCTCGTACTCGAGGCGTCGTTCTTCAATCAGTTCTAATAAACGAGTATAAGTCTTCAGTATGACTTTTGACTCCGGCACAAGCAGTTGTCCACGTGCTTCTTTCCGTAAATACGTCCAATCAGAGCCGTTTATACTGAGAGAGTTTGGCCGATGGGCGGAGCTTGTTGGCCGCTAGAACCAGCGGATTTCGCGATAACACAATATGGCGTTACTTCTTTGTCTTGTTCATTCCTGTGAAATCGCGTAGAGTTCCTATGAGTCAGATCCACAATATGGCGGACGGAAGTAGTCATCCCCCGGTTGTCAGACTACGCTGCTGTGGTTGTCAGACTGCCAAAATCTCCTTAAGAAGGCCAAACTCTCTCAGTATAAACGGCTCTGCGTCCAATAACGTAACACCCAACTATCTATAGTCACTATTCACAGCTAGAAGTATGGGTATCGCCGCCTGGTGGAACTTTTTCACAACCCGAATTGGGAATACTTCAACTTCCTTTGCTGGTGCAAGCATGTGCAATTCCAAGCTTCTATGCACTATGAAAATTAAAACCTCGTGGGTAGCACGTGCACTACCCATAGTAAAAACAACAGAAGTCCGTCCCCCCCCCCCCCCCCCCCCCCCCGAGCTTCCCTCACCGCGAAAACAATATTCCAATATCCACCAGTCCTCAGCCCACCACGCGCAACTTCGTCGCTTCGAAAAGCGAGCAAACCAGCAGGCGCCATACGCACGAACACTTAAAGGGGTACTCCGCCGATTTCTTCATGGTCAACGATTTGCTTGAAATTTTGCTAAACTCGCCAAACAACATCGCCAAAATAGTATCCCAAATATTAGGTCAAAATATTTTTTTTTTTCACGAAGTTATTGAATTTACAATTTTGTTCCTCACCGTGTTTTTCAAACTGAAAGTCTCTACTGGCAACAATGAACAAGTGACGTCAGTGGAAGTGCAGGGGTTCACTCTTTGGACTGTAGAATTTGTTCCCAACTGATTCGAAGCAGTTTCATGGTGTCAAACGAATGCTTTGGAAGCTCGCTCCAGTCCCCGCGCTCCAGCACGGAACAAATGATTGGCATATTCTATTTTTTAGACTGCTCGCCCGACTGCAAGCTTACCTTCCACTGACGTCACGGCCCTGAAAAGGGCAGGTATATTTGAATGTTGGTTTTTGCATCATTTTCATTTGCCGATTTCGCAATAACTATTATGAATTTCACGATACTAAATAGCATACCAGAAAGGGTGAAGGCCGGGGAGTCAGAAAATATAGTTAGTTGAGGTAGCTCAAAAATCGGCGGAGTACCCCTTTAAAACGGAACCGGCCAGAAGCCCTTTAGAAAGGCCTATAATCAATACGATTTTCCACACCGCGTCTCATCATTTATTCCACTTAAACCCGACGCTGCTGCGTTCGTTTCGCCACTGCTGCTCGAGTCAACATCACGGCGTCAAATGTACAGTCCCAGAACACGATTTGTATCTCGTACCGTACATCACAGAAAAGACGCGGAGTTTCTTTGCAGACACGATGACAAACTTATGTGCGGAAACGCTTCAAGCATGTGTCCAAGCAGGTTTTCGTTTTACATGTGTGTGCTTCGAACATACCTGCGGACAGTTGGTGTGTGACCAACGTGAAATTTTATAAGGAAGACAGACCCCTCAGACAGCGAGTGCAGGTTGTCTTTTGCACGATGTATTTGCAACCTGTCCGCGGCTTTAAACCGGGGTCACACTGCTCGCACATCATAAAAAAAAAAAGTCTGCAAACACGAGTCACGCAATATCCGTGGTTCGAATGCCGCGTGCTAAGTTTTCTCCATGAAGCTCATTGCCATGCGGCATTCGAAACAGGGATCTCGCGGCGTCTCGCGTTCCAATCTCTACGCAGACCCTTTTGTATGACGTATGAAGAGTGTGACCCCGAACTTAGACTTCGCCCGCTGCGATTCCGGAATAAAAAAATTGCAAAAAACAGAGAGAGAGAGAGAGAGAGAATAGGCAAGCGAGCTCGAAATAGTTCAATCGAAGAAACAGAAACTTCGTCTTGAAACCTATTTTCGTGTACCCGCAGCCGGGAACCATTGTCTGTTCGGCCAGTAGCCACTTTCCCACGTCGCGTGAGTGCGCTGAGGCCGCCGGTCCGTCCGGCGGTCGACTGGCCGCCACTGCGTGTGGTGCTGACTCCGCGAGAACGAAAGCAAGGCGAGTCGTCTGCCTCCTTTCCAGCCGATCGCATCTGCTCTCCAGAACAGCGCCTTCTCACGCACGCCGTGTCCCGAGTCAAAGACAACAACTGGCCTTCAAGGTTGTGTATATACTGACGGACGGCGACTAATTCGGGAGGCGCACCGCCTACGCTTTATTTGTCCCAAGCGCCTATTCGGAAAAGCTTGCGGTGTAAGTCAGCGGGTCCATTTGAACACTCTGCATGGCGCGTTTTTATGAAAGTCACATCGTTTGGTTTACGGGGGACAATAGAAAGGAAGGGAGGCCCGACGGTTAGGTAAATACGCCTCAGTGATTTACAGGCTTGGTTTTTGCCGGCTCTCAAATTTTCTTACACGTTATGCGCATAAAATCCCCCCCCCCTTTTTTTTTTCTATAAACCAAGCGATGTTCCATTCTTGAAAACCCAGCATTAAGTGCCGATACTGTCCTGTTGACTTATTTCACATGCCTTACCGAACACGCGTCCCGTGCTCCCTGTGCGGTATGGTCTATGCCTCTGGCAATGTACAGAAAGCGCCACGGTCAGCTCGGCTGATAAACAGAAAGGGCAGAACTGGACAGTGTTTGGTTGCTACTGATAGCTTAAACACGAGCACTGCGCGCAGGTTTCTTGTGCTCAATCAACGCGACCGCGATACGCCTCAACATTGCGATAATTCCGCCCTAGGTACCCGAATATTAAAAAAAACATTTACACGTTTTTTTTTTTATTGCTTACTTTTCCCTTTATTTCTTTCCTTCGCCTATTTTCTTTTCTATTCAGGATAGCTGATAAAGTCAGATGACCTAAAGCGACCTCTATGTTAATAAAACTCTTCTATCTTTCTTCCCGGCCGATCGGTAAAAAAAACAAATAGGGGACTACTTTTTAAAACTTTTTGAGAATGCGAAGATTAATCACCACGTCTGTGTCCCTGCACTAAAAAGAAAGAAAAAACAACAACAAGGCGCACCCATTTTTTTACAGTCTCTCGCTGCTGTGTAAACTACTCCGGTAACGCGATCAGGTGAGGTTACAATAATGCAGGCAGGGAAAATGCGCGCATCAAATAGATTGCAAGGTTTTTTTGTTTGTTTTTTCGTTCGTTGCATCATTTCGCACAGCTGCATGTAACGTTGTGCGTCCATAAGGAGGCAGCTATTGACGCACAACGTCACATATAGCTGTGCGAGATGATGCAACTATCCTAAGTGCTTTCTGACCTTCGATATTTCAAAACCGCTCTTGCCATCCAGTTTCATAGTTAGCAACCATCATTGCACACCCAGTGTATCATCATCATCAAAATCCAACCTCTCTCTGCCTGAACAGAATGTTAGGGCGCAAACGAGCTGGTGAGGATTAAACATGATGAACTATAAGTCTGAGACAAGGAGAAAGACGACGATGAAGGAGAGGAAGAACATGAGTCTCAATTGAGACTCCTGCTCTTTTTCTATTTCATCATCGTCTTTCTCCCTAGTCTCAGGATTATAGTTCATCATGTTCTCTTTGCCTCTTTTTGCGTAGCGCCGCATGTAACCTCGTCTATGTCTTTTCGATTAAATACATCATACTAATCCGATCTTAACAGCAAGGCTCCGTTTCCAGCCTCTTAAAGTTCTTCACGCAGCGATCATTAGTTCAAAGTTGGCATTCCTCGTTGTCGGACATCGGCCTATATAGCGATTCCTTCATACCTAGAACATCGTAAGAATGGAACCAGCTGCCCAATCATTAGTATCAATAACGTCATTGAATTTGTATTAAAGTTAATTTTACTATTATATTTGTGTAAGTGTTCCTCGACTCTGTTTAACTTCTACTTCTGTCTATGTTGTTCTGATTGATTGCCTACTCCCTCTGCAACGCTCCCTGGGTCGTAAGGGTACTGAAATACACTCATCAGTCAAAACATTATGACCAGCCACCTAATACCATGTTAATCTACCTCTGGCACGCAAAACAGCTGAACGGAGCTATGCCGCTGATCTGAACAGAACAAAGCTGATATATGACTAAAATACTATCTCCTAAATAACTTTTAGCTTGCTAGATGTAGGCGCCGGTAGTAGACCCTTTTCAAAAGTGCATCAGGCAACATTGGCAGTCGCCATTTCTACGGCACGAAGCTTGTGACTGGATCCAAATCCTCGCCGAACTTTCACGCAGCCCTCGTGTACAATACACGGTCAGAGTACTTGTCCAAACGACGACGGACTCGGATAATTGCCGCCGCAGCTACTAGATGTCGCGCCAAGGGAAAAGCCGCCAAGGGTGCCTACATGTCTGTCTGTCTCAGGGTGAAGACATCCATTGTTGCCCTGAATGTGCCAGCGCGTAACGCTCTCGCGCACTCGGTGCGTGACTTGGGCGGTAAAATGGCATCTATCTATTAGCCAAAGCTACGCGCTCGAGCTGAGCGACACTGGATCGCGCGCACTTCAAAATGCATAAAAAAAAACGATTGGGAGGAAAAATGGCTGAGATGTCACCACTCAAGCAAAAGCGCGTGTGTGTATGAAGGCACTCTAAAAGCCGCAGAATCATCAGAATCATCATCATCATCATCGGTCTAATTCGGCATGTTTCACAGGGTATACGAATATCGGTGCCACCTAGTATCCCCAACTCCAGAGGTGCCGACGCCACTTAGCGGGGATGACGTGAATTAAGGAGAGAAGCGGGGAGCAACACCGCCTGTTTCAGTGTACAGAAAAAATTGGCGCGGCCGGGCGGCCGAATTATGAAACCGAGGAAAAAAAAGGGAGTCAATAGCGTACCTGCATGGTATGGCTGATGGGCTCTCGCTCGGACAGGATCTCGGAGAGGTTCTTTGTGCCCAGCACGTTCCTGAGCGTCGTGGCCGCCAGGAGCCTCGTGGAGCGGCCGTAGTCCTCGACGTTGGTCACGGCCACCGTGGCGTTCTGGATGCGGTAGTAGACGACCGCGTCCACGGCCACAGTTACGGAGTCCTTGGTCAGGATCTACGTACAGACGTGGCAGGGGGGGGAGGCAACGTGAGATCACCGGATAGTGAGGTATCATCTGCACTTATTACTATGGCTAGATTTCAAAATGTTTCCAACTGGTCGATCGGGGCCGCGTGGTTTGTGTGTGGCCCGCGTTTGCAATGCGATCGGCGAGGATGCAACGAGAGCGTCGACGGTGTCGGTGACCCATAGTTGGCGTACCGTAGCTCGGGCCAGGTGAAGCAAAAGCTCGCGCTGCAAAACCCAAGGATCCCAAGTTCGATACCCCACCCCTGCCCATTTTGATCAGGATGAGCGTCCCTATTGGAGAGGAGATCGAACAGTCAAGCCTCTAGCAGTGCGCTTCAGCTATGGGGGCAACAAATCTAATTTTCTTGTCGGTTTTCGATCAGATAAATCGAAGATGCCGATTCGAAGGCCGCTCCTCGCGCGACCAAAGCACTGGTTAGAGCGAAGCGCTCGTTCTCAGACCGTGCTAGGCAAGGTCCCATTTCTTAGTTATGCCGTGTTAGTGAACACCAGGCTGCTGCGACAAAAAGTTTAATAAAACGCCCCCTGTAGTTAGGTATTGTGCCAAATATGGTGTAGTATTCACTGGATGCCATATCTAAGGGGCCTGAGGGCGATGTTTAGAGAGCATGGGCCCGGGACGAGCTTGAATTATTAGGCTGCAAAGACCAGAAATCTTGATGGTGCGGCGGAGTGCACGTTGCAAAAGAACTGCGGAAGCTCGCCGTCAGCACGCGCTCAGCAGTCGCGCGCACAGCTATGGCTGCCAGTGAATACTCCTGATAGACAATTAGCGGCGAGATTTTTTGGTGGCGCCCTCCTATGGTTCCCCCTTGTGACGTCATTACCTTGCAAACAACAAGTTCAATGGTGTTTGTAAATAGCATGGTAGAAGCTTGAAATCATTGAGCTCTTAAAGCAACGCTGCCAACACCGTCAAAATTAAAGTTCTTTCATTCCTCCTATTTCCGTTGATGATAAATCCCCTTTCCTACGTCATAGTCACCGTTCGGTCAATCGTGGAAGGCCGACCACAGCGACGCCTTCGGTCGCGCACGGGGCTAATAGACCATTTGCTATATTACCAAAGCATCAAGGAGAATGCAGGGATTAGTGTTCCACGATCCACACGCGCACGCCTTCCCCGAAATAAAGCGTTGACGAGCGCGCGTGCAAGATGCCATTTGTTTTAGGTATTTGCTTTAGAAAAGTTACTACTGCTGAGGCTAGCACGTGCGGCGCGTGGAACACCAATCCCTGCATTGTCCTTGATGCTTGGATAATATGGATAATATTGCCGCGCCCAGGGCTGAGAAAGCAACGCTCGGTCACGGACCTCCAGAAAGTTCTCGTTTACTCATGTACCGCACGTAACTTCTATCATTTATTCCTGCTTTTGTTTTCTAGAAAGTGCGTGTTCATTCTCGCCCGATCACGCGACGCTCGAGCCGCTTTTGCCGAATCTTCGAGATAGCGATGCACTCTAGATAAGAGGCCGCCCGCGACCTTGTCAAGTCAGTTTCGCCCCAGCGTTCGACTCTGCTGACACGCCGACTTCGATGCCCGCGACGCTCTGCTTTCTTCCGTTTCCTTCTTTATTTTTGGCACAAGTTCGCCACATTAAACGTTTATTTCTTTCTGTTTATTATTGTTTATTGGTCACTACCCGTGACATTTTGGTGGAGGTGCGGGGTACCGCATGCCCGTGCAGCGTTCCCCTCCCAGGACCCGCAGTGCAAGCCAGACTCCAAGCTCGCTGAGAAGACCACTCAGCGCGGAACCTGAAACTCGGACCAGCCGCCGCACTAAGGGAGAGGATCCGGAGTACGGTTTGCTGCTGGACAAACCCAAGCCGAAGAAGACGACGATGGACAACCAGTCGCAGGCCCCCACCGCTCCTGCCGTCGTCTACCTACCCGTCGCTCCTCGGACACCGGCTCCCTTCCACGGCGAAAGCCACGAAGACATCGACTACTGGGTCCAACAGTACGAACGAGTGGCCCGTCATAACGGATGGACACCGGAACAGTGTCTGCAAAACGCTTACTTCGCCTTGGAAGCCACCGCCCGGAACTGGTTCGAGAACCACGAAGCTTCGATCACTTCCTGGGAGCAACTCAAGGCTGAGTTGCGAAGAACGTTCATGAGCCAACACCGAAGAGAACGCGCGGAAGAGCTTCTTCAAGCGAGGATTCAAGGCCCTAACGAGAGCATCGTTAGCTTCGTGGAAGATGTCCTGCGACTGAGCAACCGCGCCGATCCAGAAGCATCCGAAGCAAAGAAGCTCAGAGTCTTGATGCGTGGCGTCAAGGAAAGCATTTTCGGTGGTCTTGTGCGGAGCCCGCCTACCACCGTCGAAGGCTTCATGACGGATGCCACCAACATCGAACGTGCCCTTCTAGCACGAGCCACCCACTATCACCGACTTCCCGGCGTCGGTTCCTTTTCGCCTTCCGGCTGCAACACCACGGACATCCGCGAGATGATCCGAGACGTCGTCCGGGAAGAGATCAAGAAACTTCTACCTGCCGCCGCAAGCCCAGCTTCGCCCTCAATCGCCGAGATTGTCAGGGAAGAAGTCCAGCAAGCGCTGCAGCCTGAGATTCTCGTCAGCACCGCTCCGGAACCACCGACGTTGAGTTACGCCGCAGTGGCCCGACGGCCACCGCCTCCTCGTCGCACCTATGTCACGCCGCCCCGACGTCAGTCTCCTGCGCCGCAGCACGACCGACGCCACAACGACCAGGTCCAGTACGCCTGCCCGGAGCCTCGCGCACCCCGCAAGACCGACGTGTGGCGAACGCCCGACCGACGCCCTCTGTGCTTTCATTGCGGGGAAGCGGACCACACCTACCGCCGATGCCCATACCGACGACTCGGGCTACGCGGGTTCCACCCGAACGACCCGCGCCCCCGTCATGGTGAACGCCCTATCGAGATCGACGAGTACCTGCGACGACCTCAGTCCCCCGAGCCTGCGTCCCGCCGAGAGTTCCGGTCGCCGTCACCGCGACGTCCAGCTTCGCCGATGCACCGACCACGACGTGAAAGCCTGTCCCCCCTTGCTCCTCGCCGGGGAAACTAGGCGCGGCATTATTCGTCGTCGGGACGTCCACTTCCAGCCCGGAGACAGGGTGTGGGTGTGGACACCGATCCGCCGCCGTGGTCTCAGTGAGAAACTCCTGAAGCGCTACTTTGGGCCCTACAAGATCATCCGACGCCTCGGCGATCTGAACTACGAAGTTCTACCCGACGGAACGCGCCCATCTGCAAGACGTCAGCCGCGACCCGAGGTGGTGCACGTCGTCCGGCTGAAGCCGTATTACGAACGATAGGACTCTCCACTCTCGTCGACGAGTGAACTGTGGACTGCGAACTCCGGCTAGCAATTCTGCTGTCCTTTTGTTTTTTGTTTTCCGTTTTTGTGCTGCATCGGGACGATGCACTTTTAAAGGGGGGGATAATGCCGCGCCCAGGGCTGAGAAAGCAACGCTCGGTCACGGACCTCCAGAAAGTTCTCGTTTACTCATGTACCGCACGTAACTTCTATCATTTATTCCTGCTTTTGTTTTCTAGAAAGTGCGTGTTCATTCTCGCCCGATCACGCGACGCTCGAGCCGCTTTTGCCGAATCTTCGAGATAGCGATGCACTCTAGATAAGAGGCCGCCCGCGACCTTGTCAAGTCAGTTTCGCCCCAGCGTTCGACTCTGCTGACACGCCGACTTCGACGCCCGCGACGCTCTGCTTTCTTCCGTTTCCTTCTTTATTTTTGGCACAAGTTCGCCACATTAAACGTTTATTTCTTTCTGTTTATTATTGTTTATTGGTCACTACCCGTGACAATATAGAGCAACTGGCTGCCGCCATGTTTCAGCTCGTGCGGGAAAGCCCGTGCAATTACAAGCTTGTCGAAGCTATCTTCACGCGCACGCTGCACGTGCTTGCAAGCGTGGGGCACCGGTTGGGACGCCATGATTGCAATTGTATTCACCAATGTTTGTTTGCAAACAAGGTCGCTGCCGCCCGCTATCTGCGGACCCCTGCGCGCTTTCGGTTTTCCTCTTCTTTTCCTCTTGCCACACATCCTTTTGTTATTTGTACTACGTTCTACAAAGCGCGTAGCTTCTTACAAACCTATTACAGGTACCTCTTCAAAGGAAAATCTTATTTTCCGATCGCTGTGTGTTACTGAAGAAGAAATAAATACACTACCGGAAGTCTACTGGGGCAACAAATACTGTGGCGCCCTCGTGGTACCAACTCCCACCGAATGCGGTGAATATACTCTGTTGACCACCAAGGTAAGCTTTTGGCCCTTGTTACCAGAAGCCTGCACGCGCAGGAACGCGCCACGAAGGCACTGCGCAAGCCAGCGAGTTCGCCCTGAAGGCGGAGCTTCAGTCATGTATCGCTACTGCATGGTACACATACACGTTAAAGAGCCCAGGCTAAAGCCTGGTTCAGACAGTTGCGTTTGACTGCGTTTGACTGCGTTGCGGCAGCGAGAAACCAGGACATCCCTGCTGCTTATATCGCGTGCCAAGATGATTCCTTGGATTGGATTCCGCGCTTAATACGAAGCACAGATGTGCCGGTGACTAGCTTTCCGCACTGGACGCAACGCAGTCAAACGCACTCAAACGCAAGTGTCTGAACCGGCCTTAACAGTCGTACTGCACTGGATAAATTTCTCATCTACAGATTAAACCAGTGAAGCCTGCCTCAGCGGCAGATTTTTTTCACAGCGTTGATATTCTGTAGCGTTTCCGCCTCGCCACGCGACAACGCAACGTATGCACACTTGCGAACAATCTGCGCAGAAAGCATCCGCTATTACGTTGCCAACACTTTCAACAGTTTGATATGCTCCCAACCTGAAATATTTATATAGGCTCTCTAGCCCTTCCCAGCAAAGTAGTCGCCACTAGACAGATATGGAACAACCCCCCCCCCCCTCCCCCCCGGCAAAAAAAAAAAAAAAAGATGACAGTGTATTTTTATTTATATCATCCTTCCTTTTTATTTTTTAATTGCAAAACTAGATTACATTTTGCCCAAAGCTGCTTTCGCCCAAATGCAGAGCTAACGGTCCGCACCAGATGCCAAAGTTTCAAAACCGCCCTTTATCTTATTCAACATTTACGAGCCGTTTATTGAAACTTTCGATGGGAAAATGGGGCCCGTTCCCCGTAGCTGACGCTATTCATCTCCACGTATTCGTTGGGGTCGCCCGTCATTTTCCCATTGAAAATTGCCGGAAAATCACTTAAATCTTTTGAATTTAGATAACGGCAAGCTCTTAGACTTTACCATCTGTTTCGGATCGCTAGAGCGCTATATTTGAGCGGGGACTTGGCGTTCAGCGATAAATGATTCATATTTGCAATAACAAAATAAATTTAAAAAAAAACACTATATATTTTTGGGGGCGCTGTTCCGACGGGCGTTTCAACTTTCAGCGCAACCAGCTTGTCGTCTGCTTTTCTCTGCTGGGTCACAGCTGCTTGATCGCTGCCGCTCCGGTATAGCCTGCCGCTTCACCAGATGCATAGAAACAGTAGAGAGTTTTAGTAGATCATACGTTGAGGAAAGCGAGTCCAGCGGGCGCGTGCTCAATCCATGCTTCGAAGTGACGGCACGAGCTCCCGCTATCAAAGCGAAGCTCTAGCATACGGTCTACTAAAAGTCCCTAGTGATCCAGCAGTTTCCTGGATTGGTCGCTGGAGGCGTGGCCCCCGGCAGACATGAGGAATGTTGTTCCTTAATTTCTCGGGCTTTGCGCCGCTTCCGCTGGTTCGTTGCCAGCTGCTGTGACCGCTGGTCAGTGCCACGAGGCTCCGTATACAACGCATTGCGGCCGCGCCGAGCACTTTCCTTTCCCCCGGCCAAAACAGTCGGCTCAACAGGCCGTTCCGAGCGGAGCGAGAACAAGAATCCAGCGGCTGAATCGACTACGGCGCAAAAAGTACAAAATTCGTCGAAGGGGTTGCGTATCTCTAGTCTCCAATACTTCACGAGCTTTCGTGTCTCCAATACTTCACGAGCGTGCATGCATCGGGGGCTTGAATCCGCGGAGGCTGCGTTCTGACGTACGATTGCGCTATACCTCACAACAAAAAGAACGACCTAAGTTCGCAGTAAATACCGGACGGGTGAGAACAGCTGTGATCTATGGCCAGTTGTAATAACTCTGCAGAAGTCTGCGCCACCAGCGCTGGCTTTCTTCCTTTGATCACACTTCGGCGTCTGCTGAGCTCTCGCAGCTGGTTTAAAGCTCCAAAAAACGACGGAAAGCAACGATCGCGGGCTGGAGGCGGAGCTTTTAGTCCACACGTTTTGCCCCGCGTTCCGATAAAAGGTTAATGGCCGTTGACATTTTTAGCTTTCATGTGTATGTATGGCGCGTGATATGCTTGCTTTCTGAACTTCTAACTATAGCGAGTGCCTTGCTCGGAGCACTAACACTTCACTTACGCTTTAAAATTTTGGGCTGCTGCCGGTACGGCAGGTGTTTGTAAAGTGTAAAACTCACGTAAAGTGCAAGTGTAAAGCATCTGTAGCATGTCCGATGGCTGGAAAAGTGTTGATTACGGGAAATAAAGGTAGGCTATAATTTCCTCCAACCACACTTAATGATTCACCTTGAGTGTTAATTTTTAATGGCTACCGTACACGTGTTGTTTACCGATGAAGTTAAATCAGCTTTCTTGCGACCCGAGCCGTCCTCCCAAGTTCTGCGCTCGTTCGCAGACACGTCCCTTCGTGGTCGATTGTGACAATAACGTGTTTGGAGGAAGGATGCTTCGCAGGTGAACTTAAGGTACTAGCGAACCGCGTTTGGTGCTTGCACTTCGGTGAGACTGACGCCCTCACTAACACAAGCCGGAAAACAAACCAAACAACGAGACCATGCCGTTTTAGCGTTCCTGGAACAGGTTTCGTTACACCAGGGGTGTCCAAGCTTTTTGGTAAAGGGGCCGGTTCGGGGTTGTGTCGCTGCCTCGAGGGCCGGGAAATACAAATGCAAATAAATAAATATTCCTAGTGGAGCATTAAAAAACAAGTTAGCATAGAAATTAAAAAAAAACCTAATAATCTAAGGTTGATGTATATACCTTATTTTTAAATTCAATCTCCAGCTAATTTTGACATAATTTTCTTTTTGCGCCTGTAGCAGAAAGCCTGCTGGAAGCGGGCCGTGGGACGGGCTTCACTGGAAGTTCCGCATGAGGCCAAACGCGGGCCGCTCGGAAGACCTCCGCGAGCCGGAATTGGCCCGCGGGCCGGGGTTTGGAGACCCCTGCTTTATTTATTCATTTATTTATTTCAAAATACTGCCGATTCCCGAAGGGATTATTGCAGGCATTGGTACATAATAAAAAGATACATGTGAGGCATTTAACAACGAATGGACAACGCTTCTCGTCATTCAAACGAACAGTATAAGAAAAAGCACTTGCAATACAACGTCAATAACTAAAATATGTATGCATTTGATTATAATGTTATAATTATAATGCAAAGGTGCAAGCGATACTAACTAAAAAAAAGATTGAAAAGAAAAGGCAAACGATAAGGAAAAAAGGAACTTGCCTCTTGCGGAGGAACGTCAAAAGACACCGTCCTCAAATCGACTTTGGTGTAGTTGTCAATGCACGGAATGATAAAGAACAGGCCTACAAAAACGAAAAGGGGAAATCAGTGAAAACATGCAAAAAGTTAAACCAAACAAAATCATGGAGTTTAAAGGTGATGAAATCTTCAGAATATCCCCGATAATTGTGAAAACGGAAACGAATGAACTGCCCACGGACGCACAAATCAACCAATGCTTTCTTACCAGGACCACGAGCTCCTCCCTTGACCAGACGACCCAGTCTGAATATGACGGCTCTTTCGTACTCCTGTACGATCTGTGGAAAGAACAAAAACACGCATTTGCAGGAAAACGCGATAAATGCCTACACATAAGATCATGGGCATTCAGCTCACAAGCCACCTCTGTGTTCATAATTTATGAGGAAGCGCGTCTGCCAAAGCCCTACAGGAACTGCGGGCAGAGAGTATTGACATTTTTTTTTTGTGTGTGTGTTTCCTTTCGTTCTTGGCCGCGTGAGTTTCGTATCTGGCATGCAGGACGAAAATATAACTTTTCAACCGGGAATATGCGAGAAGGCCTAGGTGAGGCAAAATAAAAATGGATGATAATCACGCATTTACCCTGAACACCTTCCTGTGGCATAGAGGGATCAAAACGATGTTTTAACGCATACCAGAAGGGACGACATTCAAGATGGCTGCTCCCTTGTGGAAAAGGTGTATGTGAGCAGAAACACGTCGTTTCCACCAGTGCGAGGCGTATGCTCCACCACTCAGCCAGCACCGCTACCAGCGAAAAACAAAGCTTCGTCGACATAGAAGAGAGAGCTGGTGTGCCGCGGTTTTCGACTGAAACTGCCGCTCACTTCTCCCAATGTTTATTATCAACAAACCTCGATTAACGCGATTACTTTTTTTTTTTTTTTTTTTCATTAAACACTTCGGTAGGTCTGCCGGTCTCTTCTCTCGCACGTTGAATTTCTCAGTAGGAAAACCTCACTCAAATTTTCAACTTCGGTGTTTATGCGGTCTGCATCGTCTCGGGCGCTATGGTCACTGAAAGAGTGAGAACGGCAGGGAGTGTCTTTCGAACGCTCGACCTCCAGCACGCGTTCCGTGCTTTCCGCCGTGCTTTAGCTGCGCGCTCGAGGTGTACGAGACGCCGAAGCGCTGTCGAAGGCCGGAAGCTCGCACTGGACGCGGCACAACCGAAGCTTCTCCCTGTCGTTCTCACCCTGTCAGAGACTGTAGCGGCGTACACAAGCTCGGAAGACCGGCCGAATGCAAGCGACCTGAACACACTCGGAGGAATCGGTAAGGTTTGACTGTAAGAAAACACTAAAAGGGTCGATCGACGCACTCGTTGGTCAGAACAAGAGCGATCATCCACAGGCGTTACGTGCGCCACACCACACACATACTCGGACATTTTACACCCTAGAAAGCCACGACCACAATAGACGCTATATTTGAGGACGATATTTAAAGCACATGCTCAGAACGAACTAAAGTTCCTAGGCTGCTAAGACCGATAATCTTGATGGTGCGGAAAGCACGTTGCAAAATACCTGTACAACTCGCCGTCAGCACGCGCTCAGCAGTCGCGCACAAAACTATGGCCGCCAGCCCATATGCACCCTATAGAGTTACTATAATGTACGCTAAAGCGTCAACTGGCGCTAGCGTCTATGCGACCTCCGGGAGGCAAATTGAAGCAGACGGCAACCAGTCCACTTATGCGGTGCTCCTGTGTATTCCTATAAAAAAAAAAAAAAAAGAAACGCGCTTTTTTTTTTTGCTAAAAATAACGTGGAACACTTTTGTTATTAGTGTCGTACCAAATAGCATGTACCTTCATTAACATTGCACAAGTGTAATTGCTTTAGTTAGCGCATTTTTTTAATCACTGAACGATGTTTAACTTCGCTATATTTCAGGTGTTTTTACACACCAGGAGGTGTGTAAAAACGAGCGATGATTCTAAGCAAAATAACAATAAAAAGGAATGTAGAGTGTTCAAGATTCACCAACATTCCGGTGGTGCTTATATCTTGCTAATATGCCAGTCCTGTCAAATCAAATCAAATTGGACGTTTAGTGTTTATACAGTGTAAGGTTGGTCTGCCAGGATGAGGCGACACTGGTTTACACTGTAGATGAGCAATTTTGCCGGTGCAGTACGACTGCTAACCTGGGGTCTTTAACGTGCTCACGCAGTAGTGATACACGACCGCACGCCGGTACGATGCTCATCCAGATCGAAACGGGCAGGGGTGGGGCTCGAACCCAGGATCCCTGGGTTCTGCAGCGCGAGCTTTCGCTCCACGCGCGTCGAGCTGGGTGTGCGCTTCAGCCCACTCGGCCACCGATCCTTTTTTTTTTTTTTTCTTTATTGTCGGCCACCGATCCCCCCGCCAGTCCTGTCACTACATCAAAATGTAGTGACAGGACTGGATGGAGCCCTTTTGACGCTGTCTTGCGTCTTTACGAGCGGTTAAAAACATTCAAGACGTATATAATAAAGTATATGGGCTATGAAAGATGTCCCTTTTATGATTTTCTATGCCGGGCAGCTTTTAGCAGCCACTTGTTTTCAAAGATTTCGAGCGTGCGGCCGATGTTTTGAATGTAGAACGAACGTCTTTACACAGAGCAGAAATAATAAAGGGGTACTTATTAAAAATCGGACTGTATTACGTTGCCTTCAATCTATTTTTTGATTGTCTACATGCACAGGTCAGTACCGATCCTGTGTTAGTGCGTAGTTCTTGCCGTCTCTCTTAGTTTTCCACATGTCCTTCGTTCGTTTGGCACGTATATCCCCCATGCTGAAAGGCGCCAACGTCGTGTTCGCGCTAACAGTGTCCGACAGTGCACATAAATACATGTACGAAGCTGTTTTAGCACCGTCTTTAATGCGATGAATTTAAGTGAAAAGCGCTTGAACTGACCCAATTCTTTCGTCCGCCTGACTAAGAAATGTTCCAAGCTACCTAGTACGTACGAATTATTCGGGATATTTGTTCTTATAATCGAGCGCAGGGAAAAAAGGCACTCACTTTTTCGCATAGAAATGCATTACCGGAAGTCCATGTTCCTCTGCTTGCTGTCTGCATCTATTTGCAACAGCGCACTAGCGCCACTTGGACCTCTAGCGTACGTTATAATAACTCTATGGATAATACCTTACACGAAAGACACGGTGTTCGCTGTAAACGTGACGATGGAATTATCTGCGTCCACGCCTGAAGCATGTTCAAATTCATGTTGGCATCATGCGTTTGTATGTTTCGACCATGTTTGCAGACATTTTTGTATGGTAAATGTGACAGGACCGGCCAACAGAGAAGAATCGGCTTCAGACAGCGTTTTCAGATTGTCTTGTGTATGATGTGTGAGCAGTGTAACCCCGTCTTAAGAGTGTAAAGGTGTTAAAGAGACTTACGCCCGTTGCAACACCCTTTGAGCACCCTTATTTTTTTTTAGTAATTCAACCTTTTAAATAGTGAAATAGGGTGCTGTTGCATGAAACACCCTGCATTTTTGAAGAGTGTGGAAAAGGGTGCTACCGCTAAGTGGAGCCAACACTCTTATTGGAGGGTGTTCGCCGCACTCACAACCGCTTCAAAGAGAGTTAGCGGAAGTTATTTTAGACCGAGACACCTGAGAGAAGGTGAATTACACCCGCACATAAGTAAGCGTTTTTTGTTTTTTTTGTTTTTTTTTTTTTAATGCGCAAGAACCCGTCCTTTCAGACTACGAAGCATCTGCACATACGCAGTTCTACAGTCAGCTCTACGGCCTTGCATGGCGTGACGTCAATAAAACTGAGTTAAGGTTGACGCCGCCACTTTGGCATGACGTCACAAATAGTCAGCTATATACTGCGGAACGCTCTGGGAGTACCCGACAAAAGCGTGACGTCCGAAAGGCGGGGTGGAAAAGCAAAGCACCCACCTTGACGCACATAAACAGTGATACCGGAAAGGTGATGATGATGAAGACGATGGAGATGGCCGTCAACAGGAATGTGCAGACGCCGCTGGTGTTCTTCTCCACGTACGCTGTTGGGAGACCAAATCAAAGCACTAAGAATCCCAAAGGCCACACGAGCAGGTCCACATCGAAACGGGCAGGGGTTTGGATTTACCAAAGGCCGCGCGAGTTTTTGCTCCCCGTGCTCCGGGCTAAAGCAGTGCGTACACACTTAACCACCGATCCCCCTTGTATGGAGGTAGGTTAGGCCCATAGGACGACTCTTATGAAGATGCACAAGAAGGCGTTGGCTGGACCTTATTCGAAATGAGGGAGGCTAGTAGCAAGATGAATGGATGATAAAATTAAAAAAAAAAAAAAAGTTTAGGGAAAGGGACGAAAAAATATGAGGTATGCAGAATATCGTTCTTTCTTTTTCTCATGTACGAGTAACGTGGACACACGACTTGAAAATGGAAACCTGTAGATCAGAAAAAACAAAACACACAAAAAGACGTACAATTAAGATTGGCGAAGAATGCTCTAAATGCTGAAAACGAAATAGAAGGAGAGATGTAGGAGGCAAGGGAAGAATCCAGATTTATAAATATACAGGGTGATAAAAGAAAAAACTGTATAAAAAAGGAAAGTTCACAATTTTAGGGAAAGTGCGTTACTATTTGACGCTGAAAACAATAACGCACATAGCGCTATACTTTCAACGTCAACTATCCCTCGTTTCATCTTACATTTCATACGCAGCCGACGCTACCAGCTGTTGGGACCAATAATGTAGCGTCAAAAGCGCAAGTCACTTGGCCTTTTTTTTTACGATTGGTTCAGCGATGATAGAACACGTGCAGGAACACGACGAACACCATGATGGTGCCCTTTTGGCGCTGTCCGATTGGCCCCACGAGCTCGTAGGAGAAGCTGCGTCTGGACTTTAAGGGGCCATGAAATTAAGATTTATGTTGGGGTAAATTATTCGAGATTCGGATTATACTAATCGCATATAGTATAATGGGCCAGGAGAAAAAAGGTAGCAAGTCAAAAGCCTCCTTTTCAGTACGAAATTCTGAAAATATAGCGGACTCTTTCGTACGTCCTTTCCATCGAAAGCTCTTCGTTTTTTCATTGTGATACATCCGCGGTGCCTAAGTACGTCATCAGCCGGCCACAGCTCACGCATTGGACACGAACACTGCGTCACTCGGACGGATGCGCTCGTCAACGATTATTTAAATTCGGGTTCGTGGCCAATGACTGCCGTGACGGCACTATTATCCCTTGCAAAGTATAAACAGCACGGTGGAAGCTTGGAGTTCTCGCATTCCGAAATCAACACTGTGAAAGTCGACAATCTGACACTACTCTTAATTCGGCCAATGAAATCAAAATTACCCATGTTGCCCAGTTCAGGAATGCCGATCAAATCAGCAAGAAGACTGGGAGGGCTGTCGCTGTAACTCAAATCATTGACGATTGCACCAGACGCGGGGAACACTGACGGATAATCCTGCTGACTCCAGAAGGCTGGGAGAACTTCCGGCTACTGTGCAACGCTATGTCACAACCACGTGATTTCTCATTTTGCCTTTGATTTGAGAAGGAAAGCTGACGAGGAACAATTATGAAAATCATTTCATGACCCCTTTAAGGTCAAACGAAGTACAGCAGAATTTTGCTTCAAGTACAGTGGAAAGTCATTATTCTGCTCCCTCGAGCGGTATGCTTCTGTGCTCGTCAATACCTTTTCTTAACAAGATACGAAAAATCGTAGACAGCGTGTAAGCGCAAACTGTGTCGCGCCGTACACGAAAAAAAACAAAAAAAAAACAAAAAAAAAAAAAACTCCACAAGATTAACACAACACGCACCATACGCCCGAATGGGAAAAAAAGCACCAGTACGTAAGACTTTCGTTCAATAATTTTTTTTTCACCAAGAAAGATGGTAGTTGAGGCAAAAAGCTGCAACCAGCGAAGTCACTACATTGCATAGTAAAATCCAAACCCAATAACACCGCACGAAAAAGCAGGCTTCCTCAAAGCCCTCGTACTCTGTGAGGATAATTGTACTACGCGGTACAAAACTCTTCTCCACGACAGAACAAAGTAAGAAACGAGTAGAATGGTGGCTAAAATCAAGGGAAGGATATAGCAGAATTAGAGTGGCTAAGTGTGCTAGTTGGTTCATGATGGCGCAAGGGAAAACAGCGCGCACAAGACAGGGATGACACAAGGGCAAACAACGCTCGTCCCGTGTGCACATCTTTTTACAATATCAGCTTTTATTTTTTTTTTTTTTTTTTTTTTTACCGCTGCTTGTTTTTGTGTCAAACAGGTACGTAGCCAGGTTTTCGATTCGGGGGACGGGGGGGGGGGGGGGGGGGGGGCATAACAAAATGCTGTATGAGAGGGAGGGGGGAGAGGAGGCCCCAGCAAAATGGATCCGATTTCTGGAAGGGGGGAACGCACCCCCCCCCCCCCCCCCTGGATACGTGCTGAGACTATGACGTAATTTACTTAACCAGTAATCCGTGTAGTATACTAAGTCAATAACGAGGAGGGAACGGCAGGGGGCAGCTTCAGTTGTCCCACCATTAGCGCGAGCTTCCTACCTTCAACCATGCTTCGGCGTCTCGTGCACATCGAGCGCGCTCGCGCAGCTAAAGCACGGTGGAAGGCGTGAAGTGGAGGTCGAACGTTCCCAAAAAACGCCCTGCAGTTCTCGTTGTGTCCGTAACTACAGAGATAGTATTTAAGCTGTTATTCGGCTAGGTGGCGCAAGCCACCGCCTGCCCCAAAGGAAACAGCCGCCACTCATCCATTCACCCATCTAGTATACACCCGTGTAGACGTCATCTGCTTCAACGTTGACATCTGCTTGTCACTGAGACCGGCACCGTCCGCTTCGTCACTGGTTCTAACGAAAGCAGAAGTGTGATTCTAGACGCCGGAGATCACCGAGTCGTTCCAAAAACTCAGCTTTACTGTTTTCACTTTTCTTTCATCACAGTCATTAATTGCCCCGTGTTCTTCTCACCTTCCTCTTTTTATCCCTTTCTCTCCTTCATCTTCTAAGTTGTGGGTGTTGGTTGTGAGCTCCTCGGCTCGTCAAAGCGGTTTTTTTTTTTCTTTTTTTCTTTTTTTGCGGGGTAGTTCTTTTATTTTTCTCGGCAGCTGAAAGAAGTGCATGTGTTGTCGTCCCTTGTCCTAAGCATTTACTTTTTCGCTTTGTTTCATATGACAGATAGACGCATCGGAAAACAGCCGCGTTTCTAAAATTTTGCTCCTGTACACGCAAGTTCTAAAACTTTGCCGTCCCATTCTAACCACTGCTCAATATTCTAGAGGAGTCTAAACTTCCAGCAATTAGCGTCTTTTTTTTTTTTTTTTACTATGCCAGTAACAGTGTTGTACAGAAGGGCTTTCTAAGGTACGGCGTTCCTGGAACGCGTTCCTTTTAGAGAAACGAAGCGTCGCCGTTCAATTTTACATCGGTGGATCCGGAACGGGAGCGCGTTACATTTTTACAAAAAAAAATAAAAGAACGGCGTTCCTTTTTTTTTTTTTTCGCAGTGGGGTTATGTTTATTTTATTTCTAAGAGGGAAATTCGAAAAGTATAAAAACAGTATCTTTACGAAGACCAGGATCTCATTTACTTTTTGCTTAATTATCTTAGGAAAACCTTTAGTCCAAAGAAAAGACACAGAAAGAGAGACGTTTCAAACTTGGTATTTGCTTAAACGAATCCTCACACACCCAGAAAGCTAAGGCTGCAGCTACAGTCATCACTGAACTTCAACAAAAAGACCTACAGTTACAACAAAAGAACAGGTTACCAGACATAACACACACCCTTCTTTCCCTACCATTGGTCACCTAAAAGATACAGAAACTTTAACCTGTCTTCCTTCTCCTCTTGTCCCCCACCTTCAAACTGAACAACGAATCTAACCTTCACGAAGAAGGACTTGTAGTTTTGAAGACTGACCTTTCAACAGTACATTTGGCTCGTCTGAATCGCCCACCACACACAGGAACATTGTTAACAGCTGCGATTTTCAAAGGCGAATATATCAACAAATGAAACTCTGCTTGAGCTTGTTTTCTTCTCCTAGTACCCTTCCATCCCGGCATTCAAATTCGTACGCTGCCATTTAATGGGCCAGATAAAAAAAAAAAAAAAAGAAAAGAGGAACACTTTGCTCGATCTAACTAGATATGGTAATCAGGAGAATACAAATGTAACGTATATGTAACGATACGCTCCATTTTTTTACTTTAACGGGAAGAAGTTCCTTTTTGACATATGGAACTTGTAACGGGAACGCGTTCAAAAAATCAGAAGGAACGAGGCACGATATTTCGTTCCTTTTTTTTTTTTTTTTTTTGAGAAACGTGTTCATTCTTTTTTTTTTTATCGAGGTTAAGCTTTTTTGGGGTCGATACAGCATATCAAGCTAGATGTGAATAAACGCTTGGAGGTCTACGTGTCAAACCAACGACGAGCATAAGGAAGTCCTAATAAAGAATTAGCGCGGTTGAAGAGACGATGGTCTACAATATGTACAAATATGTACAAAAAACAACAACAACAGCAACAAAAAAGGTACCACAACTAATGATATGATATAAGGTTAAACTATCTGCCTTGGCATAGAGAAGACCGCACCGTGAAATCAGTGCCAACAACTCCATGAGACATCATATAATAGAGAAATTAAAGTAGCTATATACCAAACGAGCCAGAAAATACAACCTAATATTGAAGGGGTTTTAAAATGTATTTTGAGATCGTACTTTTTATGGCGCAAGCCCCCAGAAAAATCAAAGTTTCATTCATTCCTGTATATGCTAACACAATGTTTGGTAGCGTTTATATTTAAAAAAAGAAGAGGTTAGGCGTGATTATCCTTTTTGGGTTTTGTGGGATGCCTAAAGCGCGTAGATTGACTTTTCACGATAAGAAAAAAAAACACGACATTAAAATGTATTTTTGTGGCCTTTTTAGGACGTAGACTGCTGCGAATGCGTGACAGACTACAGCCCTCCAGAAGATTTACGGGGGAGGACTTACGCG